CCCCGCCATCACCCGCCCGCCGCTACATATATATAATGAATATCACGTACTAGAATAGTTACAAGCAATGTGAATTCGCAATATTAACGCTGGCTGTTATTTTTGTTTGGGAAAATTAAATTAAAAAAATTTCGTCCAATAAAATGATACACGAAGAATTATTAAATTTAACCGAACTTCACGTGGAGTCACGAGTACGCACGCGCGCGCGCGCGCGCATATTTAATCATTAGTCAAATTATAAGGTGAGTTAAATTTAATAAATCATCATACATCATTTTATTGGACAGAATGCTTTTAGTCTGAATAAGTCATATCACTTAACACTATTGATGTTAATGTTGTAAAAAAAAAAGTACTATGAAAAATTCACCACTAGCAACTCTTTATGTATAAATAAATGACGAACATAGAAACATAAATTACATCAGCTAAATTTACGTTTTTTCTAAAATCTGTAAATTCCATTTGAATGATAATATATATATATATATATAATGGATTGGCTCGTCTCACTGAAATTTCAACTTTGTACAACTGTTATCTCATTCGCTCCCTTCGTCACTCTATCCCACGCCATTTTTCCTTTTCCTCGCATGTCTAACTTTTTTCGTTCGTTCGGGACATCTTCCCTTCTCCATCGCTCCAACCCGTCACTTGCCCGCCATCCCCCTATCCTTCCTTCCTCGACTATCCTAGGTCTTTCACCAACTCTCGTTCACCCTTATCTTCGACCATTTTCTCATTCTTTATTCTCCTTCCCTCGACTCCTCCGACGTTCCTCCGTCTCTTATTCGCATCTTTCGTAGCGTAGTGCCTAGGCGAAATATCGGGGATTCGTTGGGCGTATCCTTGATAAAGAGCCGAGTGGAATATTCAATCAAGGCGCTGCGCGCAGGTACGCCGGCGAGTCTCCTTCTACAAACGGACGAGACGACTGGTATCCTTTACTCCTTTACTCGGCTTCGGGACGACGGCAATGACGAGGCTGTTGTATCCTGCGATCTCCCGTTTCCCTTTGCATTATCTATCGTAAAGGGTGAGCGCCGAGGACATCGTTCGCACTCGATGTCCTGCTGCCGTGCTCCGTGTCTTCTTTTTCCGAACTAAAATCGTCGGGGGATTGCGATAAAACAATAAAGCATTGTACGAAAATTGAAGAATTTTACTTCCACGCTCTCGAGAGTAATGTTATTTCTCTGGCTGAGCAATTGTCTGCCCGTTTCTTATACGCATTCAAGGGAACATTTATTAGCGTATGACACTTTTCTAATTTATAATTTGCTTTTGGTATTATTTAAGCGGATATTTGCATTAAGGCTATGCTCAAAAAACAAAAAACAAAACAAAATAAAAACACGAGACTATATCAAATGACTTCGTGTGGTAATCAGTGTATTGGATTTATTATTGGTAGGCATTCGATATTTCTCAATGAATCTTGAAAAGGTGATGGAAATTATGAAATATCGAATTCTCCTTTTAAGAGCCTAGCCTTCACAGTCTATCCCAACCTGCTTATTGGCACAGTTTTATTGCAAATTATTAGATATTAATAATTAGTGTATTTATTGTATTGGCTTTCAACAAGCACCCAATCAATTACGTACAAATAATAAACTTATTATCGTCTCGAAATGGAGATGAAGTAATGTTCATCTCCAATGAAATATAATTTCGTTACATCGTAAGTGCACGCGGTTTTCTGCTATCGAACTCCGTTTAATCTCGAGTAGTTTCAGCTGAATTTTATAAAAGTCGTCGGTACTTTAGCGAAATTTCACCCAATTCCAATGTGCCCGTTTTGCCTGCATAATCATTAAAACAAGGCGATTAAAACAAATTCTTAAATATTAAGTAGATCATATGTTAAATATTCAACATTAATTGATAATGAATAAGTAACGAGAACGTATTCCTATTATAATGCTATTGAAATTTTAATAAATAAACAAAACTTTTATTAACCATACACGCTTAAAAATTCACCAGAGCAAACTCAATGCGATATATTCAATTTAACTATATAAAGACCAATGCCAAAAATATAGTGAAAACGTCGAAGATCGAGTGGAACCCATAAAAAAAAAAAAAAAAAAAAAAAAAAAAAAAAAAAAATGAAAAAAAATCTCGATAAAATTAAACATGAAAGGAAAGGATGACGCGCAATTGGGGAAGTGAAACGTCGGTAAAGGGTACGATCTTATCCTGTTGATCTCAACTGTGGTCTGTCCCACTGTCATCGAGCCCCAATGGCATCCGCTACTTTGGTATTCAGCGCAAATCGGAGCACATACAACTACAAAGACGACAACGCTGTGTCAAACCGAGCAGAACAAGCGATTTTGTAAGTTTAACGATCAGAGACACTCTGCACTTCCTTACCCTGGACTAAACTTTATTCTTTGCCTCCCTCGCTCCGTCCCACCCACGATCGCTCTCTCTCTCTCTCTCCTCTCTCTCTCTCTCTCTCTCCCTCGATCTCAATGAACCTCACGTCCTGTCGCTCGTTCTTCGATCCCTCTTAACTTTGTGCTTTGCAAACAGTTTCCATATTTCTCTTCAGCAATTATGTCACACGAATTATTGGCTATTTTGTGCAATAGTAGATTCTTATTTGTTGGTAATTTCATTGGATATATAATTCGTGAATAACAATTTCATGTGCAAATGGTCATGGTATTACAAAAAGCTTAAACAATATATTTAATTCATTTCATTTACAATTATTAGACACTATTGCGTGAGAAGTAATATTTTAAATTCAATATACTGCAATACACACTTTATATTGTATTGCGATTATAGTTTGGAAAAATAATATAGAAAGTGAGTAATTGACAACTATCCCGCTATTTATTTAGGTTAATAATACATATTCCATAATTAATAATCTAAATTCCAAGTATTTGGTAAAGACCGGACGAGTTAACGTTACCTTTATTTCGATATATTAAATTTATTCATAATAGCCTGCCACTTTGTAGTAATAGATATGTACGTAATGCATTTCCGAACGATTTCCTTGCCAGTTTGCACTTTGCCGCAAACAGACATTGGGAAAATCAGATTGGATATGATTGGTTGGCATGTGAGAGGAGAGGAGTGACGACGTTGTCGGGAGACGCCAGCGGAGAGCCATAGGATGACGTTTGGTATTCAAATTCTCCCCCGCAGAGGAGAGGATCATGGATTACAGTGGATGGGTCGATTCGGTTACGGTCGCATCTCGATTATCGTTGATTTCAATTTGACTGTAAGCCACATACTCATGAATATAATGGCTAAAGTCAAATTATGCTGATAGATTTTAACATGAATCGAAAGTAGGTTTCTAATTATTGTTATGCTGACTATATGATACATATATTGGCTTAATGCAGTCCTGGCAAAATAATTGAATGAAAGCAATTTTCCATGAAGCTCTTGTCTTGTAAATAAGCTCCACTTGAAGCGAATGCAACTATCTAGTGGATCCACCAAGAGCTGCGATTTACGTTTATTTTTATGACCAAGAGGAGTAGCTTTACTTACTCTTTCAACGTTGAGCTTTAAATAATAGGATAATTCAACGAATGGAAAAATTAAAATTTGACACGTGTAATAACAAGACTGTAGGGACATTATGTTAATGAAAAACAAGGCGTGACATACAAGTCGTATCGTCGTCATAACGTCATCATCGTCGCTTTCGCGTCGATTCACCCGAGCATCAATTCAGCAAATACAACGAGCCAATGATCCTCCTACACTGTGCGTTATTTCAACGATATCATGGTAAAGAATGGCATAAATTTTCGTTAAACAAGCACTAGTGCTCACAATTGGCTGAATAGCGATCCAGTAGTACGATATAATACATTGTATAAATTATTTGAACATCATTGGATTTCATTTGCAATGATATCCACGGCACTTTATATATATATATATATATATATATATATATATATATAAGCGATAATGGAAAGATATCAAGGACCATCGCTACAGTTGCAACGCATCGGCAATTATGAAAATCAAAATTCTTAAATTCTTAGCTTGACCAGGTAGTTTACAAAGCGCGATCGTCTCGCCGAAAAAAGACCTAATAATACGATATGATCGATGACATCACATGTCATAATTGCCACGAAAAGTACGCATTTTGTACCCTCGGGGCAATACGAAAGCGGTCAAAATAATTCTCAACTCACCTTGACATCCTTGCTCAACTGATTATTGGAGAAGACGTGGACAGCGGAGAACTCTCTGATACGATCGAACTCGAACTTGATCTCAATGGGCTGGCCGTTCCTCGTGTCGTTCCGCCATCCGACCCAACCCTTGCGACGCTCGTGAGCGTGCAAACCGGGCTTGAAATTGTCCGGGCCCGTCTTCCCATCGGTCAACTGGCCCAGGCCCCGGCGAAGCTCGCCGTCCCAGGGGCCGTCGTAAGCCGAGTCGAAAAACTCCCAGTCGCTGCCGCGCTTGTCACCCTGGGGCATCGAGTACGAGACGACGCCATCTGGGAAAAGACAGGACGCACGCGTTACGTCCTCGTTACCACTGGGCTCGTTATCGCTAAACGGATTCCTCCTCGCGGGCCTTATGAACCCCCCCCCCCTTACCCAAGGCCCATCCAACAAGGGGCTATTATTGGCGGTATTTGGAGCAGCTCCAAGGTCTTTGATTCAATTGGACATTGAAAGGATAGTGATTGAAAGTGATTGTTGATATAATGTGTATAAAATATAACGAACGTCTTAATCTGGAGAGAGTAATATGATTGTTTGTTTGCAAATCTATATCTAAGACTGTAAAATAATTAACGCTCGTAATGCAAGAGCGTGAATTTTAAATAATGAGACAAATCAATTTGAAATTAAATTGGGATTTCGTGATTAAGGATTTGTGCGTGATTTGGTGCGAGCGAGCATCTTCCTGTCGGAATTATGCAGATGGAGTGTACTTTTGTTGCCGAGTATCGATTGCCTGCACCGTTGTTTTACCATCTTCAATTAGGCGGCAAAATTTAAACGAATTTCACTAAACGAAATTTTTATATTGACTAGACGGGCCATTAAATATGCAACGCAATTATTTTCAGGCTCCAAAAATCATGGAATTATTCAAGAAACAGAGGATAACACTTACCGCTCCAGTAGCAGCCGTACAATTCGACACGCATGCACACTGTGCGCATGTGAGAGTCGTAAGGCAAAAAACGAATCTTGCTTGCCCATATGGGAGGATCGAGCTCGTGTTTTGCCTCCAAGTAGGTATTGTCGTTGGCCTTGATTACCTGAAAAATTAATGGTAGACACATAAGAGCAAACGTGCGCCGACGATTGGCAAAATTTCAGGGTAAATTATTGTCCCCGATATTTCGCAAATGCCTTGATAAAATTTACATTTATGATTGGGGCCAATCATCGCATAGAACATGCTCGATCAATGTAATTAAATTGCTTCCAATTCTTGACAGAACGGCCCTGGATAGATATATTTTTAACCTCGTTGCATTTTAAGCACTTTGCAAATAGTCGATTATACGGAGCGATTAATAATAATATGAAACTAACGAATTCCCTCCCATTAAATTTCGGAATGTGATTTCATAATTCTTAATTGTTTCGTAAATACTATTTACAAACTCGTAGGATGAACTTAATAATGTCTTAAGTTTGATTGAGATACGACGAAACGAATTATCCGGAAGTATTATGTTGACATATATTTTGAGATATTGGACATCGATAATACAATCGAGTGCTTCTATATCGATGATTTTATTGGGCAAAAAGCTTTTCAAATCAACTGCAACATATTTCGAGCAGTATCTCCGAAATATCAATGGTAAATATTTAAGATTTTGTAAACAAATGTCTGAAATTCTGCTACTTACGAATGAATGCAAATCACAAGACCAAAAGGGCATAATAATTTTCAAATTATATTCTTCAAAATGACAATATTCGCAAATAAAAATTGCTTTGATTTCGATAAATATCGGCACGGCTAAAAGTTCGTATCATTAATAAATTTGGCTTCTATTGACGACAAAAAGCTCGAGGTCCCGATTTCATTCCGAGCAATAAACAAATATAACCCGGGTAAAGCAATTTATTACAATAGGGCTCTGCTACTCTATTTCTCTGGCATTGCCATCGAGCCATCAATACGCTGTAGAGAAAGTAAATTTATTACGATAAATATTGCCAATAAGTAATTGCATTCTCGTGAGACGAGAAGGCTAACACATCACCACAGACCATAATAATTCCATAATAATTTTACGCGTCGACTTAAATTTCGTCGATCGCTATCCGTCGTCGTTTACTTCCCTCCCCCTCCCCTTCGCCCCTCCATCCCCCCTAATTCCCCCGCCCCTTCGAATCCCCACGTACCGTGGTCCTTCTCCACCCCCTTTCTCCTCCTCCTCCTCCTCCTCCTCTTATTACTCTTGGTTCCCCCCTCCTCTCCCGCCATCATCCACCCGCCAAATCAGCCAACTCCAGAGTTCTCACTCGAGGATAGATTAATCGCTCGCGGCTCGACCTTCGATTCCCACACCCGCGGCACACGCGCATACATGAGAGAGCGCGCGCATCCACACGAATGCGCAGCTACGCGGGACCGCAGATATTGATTTCGCTGCGCGTCAGCCGCCTGCATTCATGAATAAAATACACGGCTTTATTCGTTGCAGAGGCGCCGAGAAGCTTTCCTCGCTCGGATGGAGGCAATAGGATAGCGCGCCTCCTCCACCCCACCCCCCCCCCCCACCCCCTCCCACTACCACCATCCAACGATCATCGAGCCCCAAACCCCTTCCAAGGTATTCGCATGGTGCGTGACCCCCCAGTTTGCCAAGCACTTCACGCCCCGCCAAGGACGAGGGCACATCGCTATTTCCCAACATATGACTTAGTGGGAGGCTGATGGGAGGTTGCGCGCGAGGGCGCGGCACCTAACTGTACCTACCTCCCGACCCGGAACCCGTCGTCCTCAGACTCGTTATGCCCTTCGATATGCAATATCACGGTATGAACTTCCTCAAAGGAGCCCGCGAACAAACATCTAAAAAGAGCGGACGTTAAAAGACATTTCTTCGTATTCTGGAAGCTGAAGTATACGAATTTGTTGAGCTTTGTGATATTACGGTCTCTTCCCTTCGCCCAACCTCCTATTACATTAATTAGCAATAATCGTAATGCAAAATAATTGACGATGAGCACGATACACGCAATTTATTAACGAAATATTATCAAAGCCCATACGTCTATTGACCGTGGATTATTAAGCATACGCGCTTTGCTTGCCTACTAGTCCAACGAAGAAAATATTACACGTCTATTTGTCTTTGTTATTGTGCTGAGATTATCGATTAATAAATTTCTCAAAATTGTCGAAAAGGAATTGTGAAAAGAACTTTTTTACGTCATCCGTTTCCAAGGACGTCGTAACATGATAAAAACTCATCAACTCATTCGTATTATACTTGATTATTGTCGTTTTTCTCCCCATTTTTTTTTCTCCCCCTCCATGCCACCGTCCCGGTAAATTTGAGAAAAAAAGTTTCAGTACGACGTCAAAAGACCGTCCTCAAAGGTCCTTTTTCTCCTCAAATTAATTTCACGTTTCGCAATTATTCTTACTATTACGATATATGTAAAAGTAATGAGTAAAAAGTGCGCGCAACGCTAGGTCTACGGTTCGCTAAAAATTTACTTGTTATTGCAACTTCAACGACGTAGCACATAAATAAATATACGTACACTTGGGAAAAGTTTCTCGATTTATATTAAATTTCAAGGCATTGAATTTATGGGGAAAATATTTCAAAGGCAAATTTACATTAAAATTTCTAGATAAAATATACGAAAGATTTTACGTAACTGCGATAAGGTGCCCAAACGATGTCACTATATTAATAGTATGATTGCATATTAAATATTCGGTAATTGATTTGTCTTTTCCATTTCAATTACTCTAACGTATGTAGAGGTAATATGAAAATAATACAAATACGGATAAAAGCGAACGAAAAATCATTATCATTGGCTCTTTTAATGTTTAGCGGTGTTGTTTTGAAATCTTTTAAGATTTATCTTGATAGTGTGCGACCACGTTCTTTCTCTCTCTCTCTCTCTCTCTCTCTCTCTCTCTTCCTCCTGCATACGAAATAAATTCGCACGGTACATTATCAAATCTATAACACGTGCCCCCTTTGACTATTACTTTCTTACAATATTATCATATTTTACTTACGATTCAAGTTGCAAAAATTCTTTGTAAAGTATTTCACTTTGAAAAAATAAAGGTATATTCTTAATTCTCCATGGTGGCGCTTTTAATTATGTTGAAATGAATATTCAGTCATTTTTAAATTTAAATTTATGAAAATATATATTAAAAAAATTCAAAAAAAAAAAAAAAAAAAAAAATTCAATAAAAGGGAGAGAAAAAATGTAAATATAATTCCTTATTCAGAATGACGAAGAAATGACGACTATATCTGCCTTAAAATACGTATGCGCTCGTCCTTACCAAGAATTAAATATCATTTAACATTGCCATAAAATTATCGCCGTTTTTTTCATCATTTACACGCATCACAATCGCATTACGTCGATTACACATTTTTCCGTACCCCGTGCTTTTCTACTACGTAGGAATTTTCTCGCAACATCAGAAAGGAAAAATACCAATGTCCATGGTATTATTATAATTACCGCCAACGGTAATACGATAGTTCGACAAAAAAAAAAAAAAAAAAAAAAAAAAAAAAAATTTAAAAAAATTAAAAAAAAAAAATCCCGCCAATTCTGGCTATTAATTATACCAAGCTATTTGAAAATCGAGGGGCAATCATTTTCGAATCTAACACAACCGTCCTTCAATCCTTAACCCATTTCTTCGAATAACACGCGTCGAAAATTTCACCAAACCAGACCAATCGTGCAAGATAATCGGCAAAAGCCAACGGATAACGCCCAACCTATTCCAACATTTATAACAAGATTATGTCGCAATGAACCGAAGGCGGCTAATTCCACGGGGTAAGGTCGGTGTACGTCCTCGCGAATTCCATCAGAATCCAGGACACCCTGAGATCTGTTGCTCCGTATTAGTGAGCACGATGCTCGGCTTGGCCAATCCTGGATTTCTCCGATTAGCCTATTCTCGGCGACCCGGTAGCCAACACCGCTCTAACCGCTCTACTCACCCACCCACCCCCTCCATCCGAACCCCAACCCCAACTCCAACCCCATACCAGCACACCCCGAACTCCCCGCCCTATCACCCCGATCCACCCCATCCTCATCCTTCGACTAAATTCCCCAATCACGCGGCTCCCGCATCCTCGGCAATTTACCCGAAGCCGTTACTCCACTGACCCAAAAGAAGCAAATCGACCCTCCTCCCCCACCTCGCTCGTCCCACCGTCTCACGATGTCAGCCGGGAGCGCGTCATCTACTCGCGCGCGCCTAGCAGACGTTACCTGGAGGCGAGACTGCATTCCCGGCACGTAGGATCGTCGAACAAGGTGGAAGGGGGCCGAGTTCCTTTTTAACATCGCTGCCGCTTCGTCCCTGCGGGGATGCCGGCCATCTGTATTCAAGGTGCGCCCGCCGACAGCCGACGACAGTCTTCCCGGTCGCGCCACGAAGTCTCGCTCTCTCGGCTTCGTGTCCCGATCTCGCCTCGCTGACGAGTCGCAACGAGTCGAAAAAAGCGCGGATCACGGGGTCGGGGAGGATAACGGATCGAGCGGCGACACTCCACTGGGAATCCCTTGACGCTGAGCGAGGCGCGACGTCGGGACTCACGAGGACCGGGAGGCGCCGAACTGGGCCGTCCTTAGCAGCCTGGCCGGCTATGTCCTCCGTCCTTCCTTTCTTCATGCTTCGCCATAGCGGCACCTCTCTCCGTCGTCGCTAATTGCTAATGGACTCGAGGAGGTAGGACGATCCGAGGGCGTCTCGCTTGTTGGCTCGGGATCACGTGTCGTGCATCCGCGACTGCGGGTCCTCCAATTGTAAAGCACAGCGATTTTAAGCCTCTGGCTATCGCGGGAACGAGGACTGCATGGTGCAACACCAGATTCTGGATATCTTACGTCCCCGCTGACTTGGCTCGGGGTCGTCGTTGCCACGAGTACTATCGATCCTCCTTTGTTCTCTGCGTCTTGCGGTATTTCTCATAACTCGCGCAAGTCCGTAGATTAATGCTTAATGCAGGTATTTACGAAATGAATTGTGTGCGCTGGCGATATAATATTTAAAAATAACAACGGT